GTCGTTTTTTTCGGCTAAAAATGCCTGACTATACATGGCCGTTTTTTTCAGCAAAAAACGCCTTTCTACACATGGTCGTTTTTTTTCGGCAAAAAACGCCTTACTATACATGGTCGTTTTTTTCGGCTAAAAATGCCTGACTATACATGGCCGTTTTTTTCAGCAAAAAACGCCTTTCTACACATGGTCGTTTTTTTTCGGCAAAAAACGCTTTACTATACATGGTCATTTTTTTCGGCTAAAAACGCCTTACTATACATGGTCGTTTTTTTCAGCCAAAAACGCCTTACTATACATGGTCATTTTTTTCGGCTAAAAACGCCTTACTATACATGGTCATTTTTTTTTCGGCTAAAAACGCCTTACTGTACATGGTCGTTTTTTTTGGCTAAAAATGCCTTACAATACATGGTCTTTTTTTTCGGCAAAAAACACCTTACTATACATGGGATTTGAACCGGGGTTGCCTGGACCGAACGCTGGTGTGTATACCTCCACACTACCAGTGACTGTTACTTGTCCTGCACTATAGGCGTATTTGACATGCACTTTCGAGGGTTTCCAAGAAAAACAACCGAGTGCTGTAGTTTCACACATAACCGAGCAGGGTTTGAACCGGGGTTGCCTGGACCGAACGCCAGCATGTATACCTCTACACTACCAGTGACTGTGACTTGTCTTGCACTACATGCGTATTTGACATGCACTTTCGAGGGTTTCCAGGAAAAAATAACTAAGTTTTGTATTCTCATACATAACTGAGCGGGGTTTGAACCGGGGTTGCTTGGACTGAACGCCGGCATGTATACCTCTACACTACCAGTAACTGTGAACTGCAGCGCACTTTGGTCAGATACGATGCCATCTATTGAGGTTTCACGGGAAAATTACCGAAGTGTTTGGTGTTGTATTTTCACAAAAACGCCTTACAATACATGGTCGTTTTTTTTTGGGCTGAAAACGCCTTTCTATACATGGTCTCTTTTTTTCAGTCCAAAACGCCTTACTATACATGGTCGCTTTTTTTGGGGGGGCTAAAAATGCCTTCCTATACATGGTCGTTTTGTTTCGGCCAAAACCGCCTTACTACATGGTCGTTTTATTGGGGTAAAAACGCCTTACTATATATACATGGGCGTTTTTTTGGCTAAAAACGCCTTACATTACATGGTCGTTTTTTTCGGCGAAAAACGCTTTACTATACATGGTCGTTTATTTTCGGCCCAAATCCCCTTACTATACATATATGGTCGGGTTTTTTTCGGCCCAAAAGGCCTCACTATACATGGTCGTTTATTTTCGGCCCAAATCCCCTTACTATACATATATGGTCGGGTTTTTTTCGGCCCAAAAGGCCTCACTATACATGGTCGTTTATTTTCGGCCCAAATCCCCTTACTATACATATATGGTCGGGTTTTTTTCGGCCCAAAAGGCCTCACTATACATGGTCGTTTATTTTCGGCCCAAATCCCCTTACTATACATATATGGTCGGGTTTTTTTCGGCCCAAAAGGCCTCACTATACATGGTCGTTTATTTTCGGCCCAAATCCCCTTACTATACATATATGGTCGGGTTTTTTTCGGCCCAAAAGGCCTCACTATACATGGTCGTTTATTTTCGGCCCAAATCCCCTTACTATACATATATGGTCGGGTTTTTTTCGGCCCAAAAGGCCTCACTATACATGGTCGTTTATTTTCGGCCCAAATCCCCTTACTATACATATATGGTCGGGTTTTTTTCGGCCCAAAAGGCCTCACTATACATGGTCGTTTTTTTCCGCCCAAAACGCCTAACTGTACATGGTCGTTTATTTTCGGCCCAAAACCCCTTACTATACATATATGGTCGGGTTTTTTTCGGCCCAAAAGGACTCACTATACATGGTCGTTTTTTTTCGGCCAAAACCGCCTTACTACATGGTCGTTTTATTGGGGTAAAAACGCCTTACTATACATGGTTGGGTTTTTTCAGTCCAAAACACCTTACTATATACAGTACATGGCCGTTTTTTTCCGGCTAAAACGGTTTTTTTGGACTGTAAAAAACGCCTTAATATATATGGTCATTTTTTTCGGTTAAAAATGCCTGAAATCAGCCCCATCTTGTCCCATCGCTCCTCCTTACCGAGCAGGTCTCCGTGCACCAGCGCCAGCAGGTACCAAAGCACCCCAAACAGGAACCAGGTCCCGGCAAAGGTGGCGGTGAACAGGAAGAACTTGTAGCGCCACTGCATGTCCACAAAGGTGGTCCACAGGTCTCGCATGTAAAGAGAGCCGCGCCCACTAACGTGCTCGATGCGGATGTTGCTGCGGCCATCTTTGGACAGCACCCGCCGCCGCTTCCGCAACGTACCGCCGGTGTTGGAGAGGCCGCCGCCCAGCAGGGGTTTCAAGACGTCCGTCTGCGTCTGAGAGTGGCACACCTTCTGGGGGGAGGAGCTACGAGCAGAAGTGGGGGTGGCGGACGTCATCTGGGGAAGAAAACAAGTCTCATGGAGGTTCTCTTGATACTTGTGAATTTTTTTGGCCAAATACAGTGGACCCCCGCATACTCACGGTTGACCATCTGTAGATTTGTACATTCACTGATTTTTGTTTCTTTTATTTATTTAATAATTGGGTGCAGGAGATGAGGGTTTTTTTCCCTCCATTTCCCCATTCCCTAACACACACACACAGACACACACACACACTGTGGGTCTACTCAGGATAGACGTGCCTGCCAAATTTCATGAAGATATGCGAAACGGAGTTAGCCACGTTTCTCTTTGACGGAACTATGGAGATGGCCAAAATGACCCTAAAATTTTCAGGCATGCCTTCTTGAGACTTTTTTTTTTAGTGGGTGTATTTATGATGGACATACCTGCCAAATTTCATGTAGTGAAAGTGAAACTCATTAAGAGCTGATTTTATGATAGATTTTTGCGGAACATGGATTGGGCTGATTGGTCGCCACTCCCTCTCGATTTAGGAAGCATGACATCACAAAGTTGCCGAGGGGGGTTTGGTTTTTTGGTTTTTGTTTTGTTTTTTTTGCTGGAGCTGTTCGTTTTATGGCATTATGCTCACGTTGCCAAGCATAACTTCCCAAAGCGGAGGCGAACAAACGCTCGACTGTACTGGCAGCCATTAGACACGCTCACTTTGCCCCGACCGGTCGCCCATCCCTGTTGGGGAGGGGACGACGGACAAAAAGAAGAGACGGCGGGGAAGGAAGAAAAAGAGAAGCTGCAGTGCGCTCAAAGACAAACTAAGTGAATCACCACGAATGAAAACACTGAAGCTTCTTGTCTGACTTGGTTTGGGCATTCGGGGCACAAAAGAATGGTCTCTCACTGGAAACGAGAGACGACCAAAAGAGTTTGATAGGAAAAGTGCCAAATGTTTCTTTTCTGCAAGGAGAATTCCATCTGGAAACTCTCCGTCTCTCCACCACTCATCACTCAACACATTTTGACCACAGTTTGTGATCAGAGATGCAAGAATTTTTTTTTTTTTGTCGAAAATGGATCTGGATCCATGATTTTTATTTCATGCAACCACCTGATTAAATATAATTGAGTAAATTCAAGAAAAACTTTTTTCAGTGTTGCCAGTAAAGTAACAGATTACTGAGTTCCAAACTTTGTTACAATCCTGGTAAATTGCGTTTGAAAGTAACGAAGTCAGATTACAAGTTACTTTAATAGCTACATTCAGCAGATACTGACAACCTTGCTTCACATAAAAATGACAGTTTTTGTTTTTTTTTAACACTGAAGTGGAAGTGCATTGTTAAATGTGACATTGAAGAATAAAGTTTGTTTTTATTAAAAATAATGACAACCTTTTTGACTTACCTGAATTATTTTTAGTTTTTATTTCAATTAAAATGGGCTGTTTTTTTTTTTTTATTAAAAAAAATATGTAAAACAAAACACGTCTTTCGGGGCGTTACATAACGCAAATACATTTTCAAATAAAATCCTAAATTAAGGCAATCTTACCCATATCATAGTATGGTCATATATTTAGTCATATTTAACAATGACGGGTTCAGTTCAGCAACAGGTAGCATTTTTTTTTTTTTTTTAGAAAATGTCATCATTATAAATTACACCTCACAGCGCAAGATTTTACATTTAAAAAATGGACAAACATGTTTGTATTAGTTGTACTATTGCGTGAATGGTTAGTCTAATTTATCAACCGATTGTGTCATTGTGTAAACAGACAGACATAACATTAGTTGTGTGAATGGACAGGAGGAGGAGAAAAAAAAAGTAGGCTTTGGCCTTCCAGAGGCCGCCCCGCAACAGATGACATAACCAATCGGCTTTCATTACATCATCTGATTTGGGGGGCGATACCCTGAAAAGCTTCACACTCACAATGACACCATTCAAGAGAACGTGCGCACACACACACACACACATTCACACACGCGTCCAATCATATTGGGAGCGACCTCTCGGGTAGGATGTATTCCATCTCCATGGCAACGCCACCACTCGCCGCACTTGCCCGCTTGGCGATCCCGATCGTGCGACGCCCCAATCCAAACTTTTTTTTCCTTTTCGGGCCCGGGGAGAACAAAAGCGGTGTTTCCTACCTCCCTCCCTCCCTGCCTGCCTTACCATCCATCGCTCTCTCCCTCTTTTCCCCTCTCCTTCCTTTCCTTCTTGTGCCTCCTCTCCTCCATCCACACAGGAATGCTTTGTTTGGCTCACACATGAAAGGCACAAAAGATGCCATTGACAAAAAGCATCCCTGTGTGTCTGTGTGTGTGTGTGTGTGCGCGCGTGAGCAGACTATAGCACATGACTGTATGTGTTAGACTGTAAGCAAACTTGTGATTTAGTGTTTGTGTGTTTTTTGTGACAGAAAACTTGGATTGTGCGTGTGCGTGTGCGTGTGTGTGTGTGTGTGGTGTGACAGAAAACTTGGATTGTGCGTGTGTGCGTGTGTGTGTGTGTGTGTGTGTGTGTGTGTGTGTGTGTGTGTGTGTGTGTGTAAAGAAAACGAGAGTTGCGCGACAAAAGGCCCTCGTTAGTATTCCGCGGGGAGGAGTGATCGAACTACATGGGCCAGCTGTGCTACACAACCGTACAGTTCATTTCAGTATGAGTGTGAGAGTGTTCAAATTGTGTGCGTGTGTGTGTGTGTGTGTGTGTGTGTGTGTGTGTGTGTGTGTGTGTTTGTTTGTGAAAGAGAAACAGAGTGTTTCAGTAATGTGTGACAAAAAATAATGAGTAGGATTTCAGTACTTTGCGTGACAGTGTTTCCGGTGTGAGTGTGAGAGCGTTTCAGTTATGAAGGGGAAACCGTTTTAGTTGCGTGTGTGTGGTGAGGGGGGGGCGTGTGCATTTGGTGTTTCAGTGGTATTCTTGACGGTGTTAAGTAGTGCATGGGTGAGAAAAAAAATTCGGTAGCTCATGTGAGAGTATTTTAATAGTGTGAGAAAACTCAGCAATGTGATGAATAGAGCAGTTCAATAAATTGAATGAAAGCATTTCGGTATGTATAAGTGTTTCCGTAGATTTGAAAGCAGTATTTCAGTTGAGTGTGAGAGAAAAAAAAAACATTGCCATGTGTTCCAAGAAATTATATGAGACCATTTTAGTCTGAGTGAAAGCATTTCAGATATGACAGAAGTTCAGTATGGTGTGTGAGAGCGTTTCAGTAGTGTGTGTACCAGTGTTTTAGATGTTTCAGTTGTGTGTGAGAGCATTTCAATTCAACATGCGAGGAAAAATATTTAAGTAGAGTGCATTCTTGCAATGACAGTATCTCAGTATGTGTGAGAGCTTCCAGTATATGAGAGCAGTTCAGAAGTGTACCAGTGTTTTTTTCGAAGTTTCAGTATGTGTGAGAGCAGTTCAGTAGCATGTGAGGAAAAAAAATGCTAATTACAGTATGTTTCAGACGTTCAAATGAGAGCATTTCAGTGAGTGTGAGAGTGCATTTTGGAATATAAGAGCTGGTCAGTATGATGTGGGGTGTGTGAGAGCATTTCACTAGCGTGCGCGTATCAGCGATTTAGCCAGTTCAGTAGTGTGCGAGAGCATTTTAACATATATGATCAAATTAAGTCGACAGTGTGATGGAATTTCAGTTTACCATGAGAGTGTTTCAGCCATTTCAGTATTGTGTGAGAGCAATTTAGTAGTGTGTGTGAAGGGAACAGAACCAGTTGTGTGGAAGCGTTTCAGCATATTTTAGGAGAGCATTTCCGTCAAGTGTCTTAAATGCCTTTGGTCAGACTTGGCCACGATCAAAAGTCAATGAATGCACAAAATTGTCCGGATAGTCCCTGAATGCACCATGCCATGGAGAGGTGCATTATGGGAACTCAAGCTTCCATTTGCACAGGATCCAAAAGGAAGTAGTAAGGGCAACAAAAATATTTTAACATGAATGATTGATTAAATTAATATGATTGAAATATTAAGTTATGGCCTAGGGTCTAATTTTGTTTCTTAGAAAAAGTTTTGATGTTAGATTTGATTTGAAAAGCTAAACTACAAATATATGCAAATCTATGCAAAAATTGTTGAATCTGACCTGATGCCAACTGAAATTTGAGGAGAAAAACATAACTTCATCTTTTTACTAGTTGCAAATAAAAAGGAAATAAACATTTAGTTAGTGATCATTTCATTACATATTCCTCAAAGTTTTTAAAGTGTTTTGTTTTTGTTTGTTTTTTAAATAATAGAACCAATTATTTTAATAACTAATGGTGTCATCATCTTATGTTTCTAAATATTGCAATCTAATATTACATTTATATTTAAGAAGTCATAGCATTTTTTTTAAATACTAAATAATCATAATCATGGATTTTGAAATACTGGAGTACTATACAGTAAATCTTAATAATTTTAGGAACTATTAATATTCATTTAATGATCATCATATATCTATGGATATCTATATTTGCATATCAACACCTATCATCTACACTATTATTGCAAATAAAAAAGAAAAGAAACACAAATATGTTTTTTATTATTTTTGTCATGTTATTTATTAATTCTATTTTTAATTTATGTCAATGAGAGGTGATTTTTTTAAACGATCAAGTAGTTACTATTTTGAAAATGTGAACAATAATAAATGATTTTAATACAAAAATGCATTTCTGTTATTTATTATCAAAAATAAATACAAATAATAATTTAGATTAAGCAATTTAGGCAATTTAAAGAAATTATTGACCTGTTATTATTACTTCCCCCCCCCAGAAATGTCATTCAGATTAAATTATTTGTGTAAGAATTCCCTTCCGCCCCCCCACTGCCCCCGCAAAAAAAAAAAAAAAAATCTGTGCAGGTACCACAAAAATAAATCGATAGACAAATAAATAGGCAACTAAGTACATAAATCCACACACCGGAAAAGCATCTTTTGAAAGTGTCCTTACCTTTTTAAGGTGGGCTTGTGTTGAAAGGTTGGCGTGCGAGAGGACTTTGCGTGGCGTCAGCAGTTGTTGCACATGGTGCTGGTCCAGTTGGGGACCGAGCGGATGGTTCGTCTGTCCCCTCAAACTCTCCCGGACGTGACCCCCTCTTGTCCCTATAAGAGGCCACTCTCTCTCCCTCCCGTGCGCCTCGTTGTTTCCCCCCGCCCGGCATTCCTGTTGCGTCCCGCTCACATCCGAGCCGTCACCTCTGGAGCGGGACCCCGAGTTCGAACTGTCGCCTCCAAGAAGCGCGAGCAGAGTCGCGCACGTGGAGTGGCAACCACACGTGCACGATGCCCCCACCCCACGGCTGTCGCGCCCCCCGGCACAGCCTCTTCTGTAAAAAGAAAACAAGACACAAATGTTTTTTTTTTTTTTTTGGGCCCCCATTCATGAATGAGTTGGCCAGTACGGCGTGTCCTGTTTGGGTTGAAAGAGGAGCGAGCGTGAGGCGAATGTCAGCCCTTAGTCTCCTTGGGATAAGGTGACCCAGCACGATTTAAATCAGGGGTGGCCAATTCCGGTTCTCTAGGGCCGCGATCCAGCATCTTTTAGATTTCTTCCCTTCACCTGAATAAATGATCAGCAAGCTCTGCAGAAGCCTCATCACATCCCCGATCATTTCAATCAGGTGTGTTGGTGACAGTCACACACTCCTCTTGTCACTTATTCATGACCACCGCCATCGTGCATGACAGAAAAAAAGGGAGAAATAATCTGCAAAATTCAACAAAATAGTCCATGACACATGTGCATGCAGTGTACATCATATTTTAATATTCATAACAACCTCGACCTTCTGTGATGGAAAAAATGAGCAACTAGAAATAATCCACAACTTTACATTTTTATCAAATTGTATAATATTGAGGTTGATGGTACTTCTTGCCAATTATTCATGATGCAACAAAAATAACCCAGACAATTTACTGCCTGCAAGTTATTGATGATTACCGCCACTTTGCATGACAGAAATAAACTAAAAATAATCAACACAGTAAAAAAAAATATATATGGTCACAAAAAACTATTTATGATTTCAGTGAGGGTGCCACTCTCCAGTCATTATATATAGTGTGTGTGTGTGTGCGTGTGTGTGTGTGTGTGTGTGGTGTGCCTTTTGCATATTGATTGGCTGTTGCTTTGTCCTCCGCTTCACTTCCACTTCTGCACACCATCTTCTTCCTCCTCCTCTTTTCCTTCTTCGGACACCGCCAACGGGTTCACGGCGAGTTCGGACTCACTCGACAATCACCCTTCTGTGGTGACAACACGCAAATAAAAAAACTGATTTGAAAAACGTAGTTGCAGTTCCACAGCCGTCCTGAAGGAAGCGCTAATACAAATCAAACGCATCACACTGAGCTTGTGTTTG